CCCCCCCCCCCGCCTTAGGGGATTATATTATTCTTTCATCTGAAACATTTTCCTCTGTCTTCTTATTTTGTTTTACTTTCTCTATTTCTCTCAATGAAATTAGGCAAAACAGTTACCTACGCTGGTCCTGAAGTCATGTTCTTGTGTAGGAGTGTCTCTATGCAGTCTGTGTGTGCTCAATGGCTTTTGTGGGAAAGCAGGATCTGAAGTGAGCAAGGGTCACATCTTCCCTCAGGGCATGCTGGCAGCTACTTTCTTGGTGAACGGTAGGGCTGCAGTGGGGGCTAGAGCCAGTGCCAGGTGTGAGCTGGGGCTTCTCCTGGGCTCAGTGGTAATTGCTGTCCTATCAGAGGGTGAGACTGGGTCCCCAGGGACTGGAGCAGGTGCCCTGCAGGAGGTGATCTTCTCCCTGGTCTGTGTGATGGCAGAAGGCATGGCTAGGGCCTGAGATGTTGCAGCTGCGTTTTTGAGTTGGCTCCAGGTCTCTGCCTTAGTCCAAGGCTGGGTTGGGGATCTAGGGATTGGAGTTGCACTTCTGAGTTGGCTCCAGGTCTCTACCATGGCTAGAAGCAGGGCCAGGACCCAGCTATCTCAGATCTTTCCCTGATGCCTGCTTGTGCACTGGCAATGGTGGACTCCACCCTAGTGGGGAGCAGTACCAGAACAGGAGACGCTGGAGAAAAGCCCCATGCAGGCCAGGATGACGTACTGGGGCAGTCTTGACAAACTGGTCAGAGCACAGGCAGTTCTCAGTCTGCTGCCTCTGCACTGGGGCTGGGAGCAATCAAGTCTATGTAGATCCTCTTCAAGAGCAGAGTCTCAGTTTCTTACAGTGAGTCCCACTGGTTTCCAAACAAGTGGGATGCCTAATATGGGGCTCACTCCCTCTCTCCTTAGAGAAGATCTCCAAGCCTGTGATATCCCCTTTCTCTTCTTGGTCACCTGCTAAGGGGTTTGGGTCCTGACTAGATCACTTCTCTTCAACTTGCTATCAGAGTCCATTAGGGTTTTTTCTTTATAGCCTTGGTTATAGAAGAGCTGTTCTGCTGGTCTTCAGGTTGTTCAGAGTTTCCCTATATGTGGTTGTAGTTTTGATGTGTTTGTGGACATAGGTGAGTTCAGGGTCTTCTACTCTGCTGTCTTGATCCCACCACTCAAACTATATTTCTTTTGTATAATGCTGCAAAATTCAAAGATATTCTTTATTTTTCCTTTCTCAGAAAAAGTAGCTGCTAAGAGAATAAAAATGCCAGGCAGATTTTTTTTGAAGTTTTATGGAGTTGGAGAAACCAAAATTTGAATTCAAGACCTATCAAAATGGAATGACCATAATAAATATTCCAAAGTTTCAGTTGAGACTTCTGAAATGTGCAGGTGAAGGTGATATGCTCATATTTTGTTTGCTTTCTAGAAGACTGTTGAACTGTCTCTGAAGGAATATAGTATCATCCAGAGCCTCTACAGTGCTTCACGCTCACTGTCCAGCAATCACTAAAGTGCCTAGAAGTTATACCCAGCTTCCCCCAAGGAAGATCATAGCCAACACCTGATTGTTATAAGAAGAATAGAATTCCTGCAAAATCTCCAGTCTCTTGCTTCCAGGTATGTGTGAGGGGATTGATACACTCTGGTTTTTGTTGTTGTTGTTGTTGTTGTTTTTACATTCCAGAATTTTCCATATGATCAGGCTCATGCTGGATTTCACTTGAAGACCATCCTCACTTAGCTGCTTCCATTCCCTGTCCTATTTCCTCATTCTCTAAAGGATGCTCCCTGTAAACTGTTTGCATGGACTGCAGCATAACTCATCTTACTGTGCTTCACTTTACTGCACTTCACAAATACCGTGCTTTTCCCAAATTGAAGGTTTGCGACAACCCTGCATTAAGCTCTTCTCCCGGTGCCATTTTCCCCACAGCATTTGCTCACTTTGTGTCTCTGTGTTACTTTTTAATAAGTCTCACAATATTTAAACTATTATTATTATTATTATTATTATTATTATTATTATTATTATTATATTTGCTACAGTGATCTGTAATCAGTGATCTTTGATGTCTCTATTGCAAAAAGGTTATGACTCACTGAAAACTCAGATGATAGTTAACTTTTTTTTACCAATGAAGTATTTCTTGATTACAGTATTTACATTTTTTTAGATATAATGCTATTGCACACTTGATAGTTTATAGTATAAGCAAACATAACTTTTACATGCACTAAGAAACCAAGAAATTCATGTGACTTACTTCATTGCAGTGGTCTGGAACAGAACCCACAATACCTCCAAGGTATGCCTATAACCAGCCTCAAAATCTAATTCTAGGGTATCCTACTGAAGATACTGGCAAGACTGATTAAAGAAAGATAGAGATGGCACAAGTTAACAACAGTGTAAACGAAAAAAAAGGATATTACTCAATTCCAGCAACCATTGTCAAGATAGCAAGAGAATACTGTGAACAAATGTTTCTTAATATGTTTGAAAATTTAGATGAAATTTACATGTTCTTTTAAAAGTTACTAAGAAAATAGGCATGAGAAGAATAGAAAACATGAATAATCCTATGTCTGTAAATAAATAAAATTTTTAAGTTTAAAACTTGAAAGCTTTCTCACAAAATAAGCCTCATGGTTATATGGCTTTACAGGGGAACTTATTCAAACATTCAAGGAAGGATACTAATCTTAGAAAAACAATACCAGAAAATAGGAAGGTAGAAATATGATCTTAATGATAAAACCTGGTAAGGACATAATAAGAAAGTACAGTGAAAGTCCAATAACTTTTATGAACATAAATGCAAAGCCCTAAAGAAAATAATAACAAGTTGGAACCAGAGATATGTAAAACTTAAAATACAGCACTAGGAAAATTGATTCATTCAGGAATTTAAGGTTACTTTATTACTTATAAATAAATCAGTGTAATTCACTACAATAACGAAGTAAAGGTAAAAATCATATAATTATCTCAAAGGTAAAGAAAAAGAAAGAATATTTATTCATTATAAAATTATTAAGAAACTAAAGATAGAATGTTTCCCCATCTAGTAAAAGGAAACTACTAAAAATTACGTATATCTATACATATGTATATAGCAAGCATCACACAACGGTGAAATAGTGAAAGGTTTCCCTATGCTATTATGAATTATGACAAGAATGAATACTCACTCTCACTTCTGTTCAAGCTTGTGCTGGCCATCGTGCCATATTTCTGTTGGAGAGGAACCATAGCACCAGAGCCCATTCTTCCAGGTCAGCCATGACACAAAGATGTCACCATCCCTAGCTGTTTGTCACCATGTAATTAGTGTTGATTGGAAACTTTGCCTGGAATGGGCAGAACTGATTGGTTGTCTTTTCCTGGTTACTATTTCTAATCAGTATATAAAAAGTACTTAGGAGTAAATCTGGTGTAATCTGTGTAATATTTCTATGCACAAAAAGGAAAATTACAATGATAGAGATTGAGGAAGACCTAAATAAATGTCTGTACCATGTTCATAGTTTCAAAGATTTAACATTTAAAACTGCCAATAGCTTTAATTAAAAAAGAAATACTTCCAGGCATCAAGAATTATAAGACTATACAAATTAAAATAGTATTGAATTCATGTAAGAGGAGATAAATTGACTAGTTCTAAATGCAGAAATAAGCCCACATATACATAGTTGCCTGAGGGAAGGAATAATCTTTTCAATAAATAGTTCTGGAACAATAGAATATCTACATAGATATTAAATGAGTAACTATATATTATATTGACTTGTTAATTTATTCCTCTTTCTGTTGTTTTATCTCAGGGTCTGTTTTTATCAATTGTTTTTATCTTGTTTATGGATCAAATATCCTTTCTTCTTCATTTGCGTAGTAATTTTTTGTTGTATTCTGGACACTGTGAATACTATATTGTAGAGAGTCTGGATTAAATTGTCTTCCTTTAGAGGGTGCTTTGTTTCGACATGCAGTTAATTGTTTGGTGACTTGGTTTTGTAGAAGTTTAATTTTAGGCTTTGGTAGGCTAAATCTACATCAGGCTTTCTCAGCCTTGGCAGTGTTGTCATAATGGACCAAATAATTCTTTGTTGTGTGGAACTGTCCTGTGTATTGTAGGATGTTTAGCAGTCTCCCACTTCATACCAACAGTACATGTCCTACAATTGTGACAATCAAAAATGTCTCTGTGCATTGCCAGATGTCTCCTGAGGGGCAAAACTCTCCTAGTTGAGAACTGCTGTTCTAGAAAAGCCATTACTCTGAGGCCATAGTAGCCCTATTTCTAAAACATGGACTTTCTGGAGAATCTTTTTAATGTCTTTCATGGTCAATGCTCCTCTATTCTGCTTAGTTGCAACTCCAACTCCTCACAGCCTTTCCCTACACTTCTAAGAGTTGTTCTTTGCAAGACCTCTTAGAATCTCATTCTGTGTATGTTTGGTCTAGTGTTTAGCCAAAGGCTCAAGATGTTTCTCCTCTGAACAACTGCCTTCACTCTGGTGCATTTCAGCCTTTTCAGCATGATCACTGCTGTCTGGGCTCAGCTTCTTTGTGCCACAGTTTGAAAGTGCCCCTCACAGAGTCCATCTTGTATATTTCTTACTTTCAAGGATCAGAGCTCTGAGTCATCTATTGTCTGATATCTAAACACTGACACTTCTTCTATTTTATCCACTTTTAGGGTTTATTACAGCAATATAAATCCTGTATTTGATATTTCATCATGACTAGAACAGAAGTCTCTGATTATCTGTATAGAAAAAAAACTGATGCTACTTCATAGCAGTCATAAAAATCAATTAGTAGTGGGTTACAAACTTAAATATAAAAACTAAAATAATAAGACTTCTAGAGGAAAGCTGGGAGTGGGCAAAGATCAATATATGTCAACCAAAGAATATACAAGAACTTC